TGCCAAAATGGATGCCACCGGCTGCCAATGAGGCGCATTTTAACCGCGGGGTGGTTTTGCCAGCGAGCGCTGTTACTCTGTGCTTCCCTGTGCACAGGCCGGGCTGGGAAAGTGGGGGTCCTGGGCCGCGGCCATGGAGGCTCCCTCTGTTTGGGGCCGGCTGGTTCCCCCGGGGTGGCCCTGAGATGGCCAGGCCAGGCCCCTCGCCGAAGTCTGGGTCCTTTTAGCTTCTGGACATGCTTCTGCCTTCCCCCTGGGACCCCCTCCTGTGTGTGTTTCTGCCAGGGAGGTGCCGAGCTCTTCAGGCTGGGGCCCCCAGAGTCACACCTCTCCCTCCCTCCCTCCCTCCCTCCCTCCCTCCCTCCTCCTCCTCCTCCTCCTCCTCCTCCTCCTCCTCCTCCTCCTCCTCCTCCTCCTTCTTAACTCGCGCGCTCGTGCGCGCTCTCTCTCTCTCTCTCTCTCTCTCTCTCTCTCTCTCTCTCTCTCTCTCTCTCTCTCCCTCCGTCCTCCAGTCCCCTCTGAGAAGCAACACCTGACCGCCCCAAACTGGCCAGCCTTGGGTTTCCAAGCCTGAGCTGGAAACCTCGCCCTAGCACACCGGAAAAAGAGTCCCGATTTCCCTCCCGTCAGGTAGGGGGAGGTGGGCTGGGACTCGGATCAGGATCCTTCACTGTGAGCCCTGCCTTTGACTTCCCGTGATTTCTCTCTTTCTCGCCCCCCCCGCCTGCCCCACCCCCTTCATACATAGCATTTTTATCCTCCTTAAGACAAAGTAGCTGGCAAAATATTGAAGCGATCCGAAAGAGATGTTTTTATTTGCCCGCCTGCTAACTGGGTTATCTGCCTATCTTGTTTGTGAAATTGGAGGCTGGCTTTTCCTGCAGTCTGCTCCGGCTCTCACATCTTCCCCGGCTCCCATTTCCATATTTCTGCGTGCATGTTCTTTGTTAATCACTTGGCAAGCGCTTATTTGAATATTAAAAATTTCTTTAATCATCAAAGGCAGGAGCACAGCCTCATGAATATTCATATTTTTCCCCCTCCTCATTACCCTGCAGTAAAAGCCAAACAGCCATCAATCGCCCTCATTACGGGCTCTGGCGTTTTGATTGGCTGCCGGCTGCCCAGCGCTTTTCAATTTTTTTTTTAATTTTTTCCCCTTCTCCTATGAGCTGTCGCTTACCTGCCAACTACAAAAAAAAAAAAATCAACGATGCAAGAATAAATTCCTCTGGTTGAAATGCAACTTTGCAAACTTGTCACAGGGTCCGTGTGGCTTGCTGCTGCCGACACGGCCCTCGGCGGCACTACCTGAGCCTCTAAAAAAAAAAAAAGATAAGATTCAGGAAAAAAAGAAGGGGGGGGGGGGAGAGGAAAAATTAAATAAATAAAGAGGGAGAAACTTGAGCCTCCGCGATGAATATTTGTCAAGAGAGTTGACGTAAGTTTCATTTGCATAATGACTTTGTACTTCTGCATTAATAAAATTTGCATATGAAGCCATGTTAATTACTCCTGATCATGCTTTTTGCATTCATGCATAGTAATTTTCCCCGACTTGTGAGAATTAATGTCTTGGCGTTGGGGGGAGGGGCGAGGGGGCTGTCAGGTTCCCTTGCCAGGGGCCCTCGCCACGGGCGGGCGCTGGCTCCCCGGCTGTCTGTCTGTCTGTCTGTCGCCCTCCGGGGCCTGCGGCTGGTTTTTTGCACTCTCAGGAGGAGCTCTTGGCTTTTAAAAAAATGTTATCCGTTGAAAGGCACCGGTAGGGAGAAAAATACACTTGGACACCGTGTATTCCAGAGCTCGTCTCCCGGCTGGGGGTCTGCACCGCTCCCACCCAAGGGGGAGGGGCGTCACCCGAGGGTGCAGCCTGGGGAAAGGCTCCCATTCCCCTCCGAACCAGGCCCTGACTCTCCCGGGAGGGTTTTTGTGTCTCCACGCCGCCCGTGGGCGTGTGCATGCGTGTGTGTGTGTGTGTGTGTGTGTGTGTGCATGCGTGTGTGCTGGGCTAGTGCGCATGTGCGAGGAAGGAAGCCGCACCCTCTGCAGGGCCCGTCCCGAGGGGAGAGCGGGTTACACGCCCCCCCACCCCCCACCTCCTGGAATGATGCATTAAAAAGGACCTCACGCCCGGATGCGGAGTCAGACACGTGTGGGGCCTCGGCGTGGGCGTGTCCTCTGTGTGCGGATGTGCAGAGGGAGGGTCCGAAGCCCACGGCCCGTGGTCCGGGCCCCCAGCCTCGGTTTCCTCATCTGTGCGAGAGGGCGGTGCAGTCACTGGCTCCCTGGGGCGGCGGCCGGGGGCGGGGGGGGGGGGCCCATGAGAGGATAGATGCATTCGCCGTTGATTTCTCTTTCCCTAATGAAAGTGAGCTTCCGTGATAAGCGGGCCAGCCAGCCAGGGGTTTATGTTTAAGCCGCCCGGATCCCCGTAAAGCTGGGATGGCGTCTCGGCGTCCCTCTGCCACATACCACCGCACACGTGCGTCTGGGCCTGTGCCAGGGGCACCCGCCGAGCCCGCCGGAGACATTGTTCTGTGCAGGCGCGCCCTGCAGGGCTCCTCGGGGTGCCTTTCCGCGGGGAGCGGAGGGAGGGAGGAGGTCCAGAAAGGAAAAGAGAGGCATGAACGAAACAATGAATAAATACATAGTGTAAACGAGCAGGGGGACCAGTGATTGCGTGTCTCCCAGAAGCTCTGCTCAGGCCCCACGTGTCCGGACTGTCCCTCAGAGGCGGAGTCTGTGGAGTGACTCACCCAGGAAATGGCAGAGGGGAGAGGAACGGCGGAGGGGAGATCAGAACCCAGGCCTCGGGCTCCGGGCCGCCTCTCCCTGAGCTCCCGGCTTCCTGTGCACGTGTCAGCGCCTGGTCACAGGGCCTGAGCGCTCTCTCAGGGGTTCTGCACTTTATTGTTTTAAATTATCGATTTTTAGAGAAAGAGGAAGGGAGAGGGATAGAGAGTCAGAAACATCGATGAGAGAGAAACATCCATCAGCTGCCTCCTGCACCGCCCCCCACTCGGGCTGTGCCCACAACCGAGGTACATGCCCTTGACCGGAATCGAACCTGGGACCTTTTGATCCGCAGGCCGGCGTTCTATCCACTGAGCCAAATCGGTTAGGGCTGCATTTTATTTTTTTAAATTATGTTTTCTATTGATTTTCAGAGAGAGAGGAAGGGGGAGGAATTGAGAGAGAGAAAGAGAGAAAAACACGGATGAGAGAGAAACATCATTGACCGGCTGCCTCCTGCACGCCCCATGCTGGGGCCTGAGCCTGAAACCGGAACATGTGCCCCAACCGGGAATCGAACTGTGACCTCCTGGCCCACGGGCCGAGGCTCCACCCCCGAACCACACGGGCAGGGCACTGCCCGCGCCTGTGAGGGCAGACACGCGTTCCTGGAGGAGGAACCAGAGCTGGGAGGTGGCCTGGGCTGGGCAGTGAAGCCAGAGACAGGCTTGAAAAGGAAATGGAGATGAGATTCACATAAAAAAAAAAATTCACCGTTTTAACCCTTGCAAGGGGGACAGGTCATGGTTTTGAGTGTAGTCACAGTGTTGGGCAGCCGTCACCACGATCTAATGCCAGAACGTTTTCATTCCTCCGAAAGCAGGCCCTCGCTCTCCGCTCCCCCCCCTCCCCCAGGGCTCTCTCTGGGTTTGCCTGCCCCGGAGCCTGCCTGCACATGTGAGCACACAGTAGGTGGCTCCTCTCAGCACCTTGGGCTTTGGCCCTCGCTTGGGGCCCGGACTGCTGGAGTCGGGGCAGGCTTATACTGCTCCAGCAGTGACTGCCTCCGCCCCCAGCAGGCCTCCTGTGCAGGCGGGTCAGGACTGGGACTTTTTTAAAAATCCCTCGGTACTTGGGGCAAATTGTTAAAAATCGGGACTGTCCCACCAAAAGCGGGATGACTGGTCCCCTTAGTGTACAGCCTTCTGGGCCCAGGTCCTCAGTTTCCGGGTCTGTGCAATGGGTATCGTAGGCCTCACCCCAGGGCATGTTGGGAAGCTCGCTGGCGGCGAGCACTGTGGCTCCTGGCTCCCAGCGGGCTTGCAGGGCCTGGTGGCCCTCTGGATGGCGGGTCCCAGTGGGGCCATGGGGTGGACACACGCCCCCCTGCAGACCTGCATGGGGCGGGGAGCCGGCCCCGGGCCCAGCGGCCTGTCGTCTTGTTGACGTTTTTCTTTTTGTCTCTCTGATGCTTCCCCGCTCAGCTATTTACCCAGGGAATTTGGGCTTCTTCACTTGTGGTTTTGGCAAGGGCTTCACACAAATGTTTTGCCCTGGTGGTCTCTCCGCCGTTTAAGATAAACGGCCAAATCAGACGCAGGCCGTGCCGGGCAGCTGGGGCGGGCAGGCCCCTGGGGCGGGCAGGCCCCCGGCCCCTTGTCCTGGCCGTCGGGCCGGGGAAGGGCGGGAGTGCGGAGGGGGGCTGGGCGGTGCCAGGCAGGGCTCTCTTGGGGGCGTCTGAAGCCTCGGAGAGGCCTGGGGCGTGGGGCGCGGAGGAGGGCCTGGGGCCTGGGGCGGCACCCGCTGGCCGCTCGCCAGGCTGGAGGCTAACGGGCGCCCAGCGCTCCGAGGTGGATGGGGGAGCCGGGCCTGTACAGACAGCCGTCCCGGCAGAGCACGGGGGCCTGGAGTTCCCCGGAGGGGGGTGGCCCAGAGGTACGGGAGCAGATGCCCCATGGAGCCTGCTCCCCAGCACTTTAGACGCTCTACCTCCCCCCCCCCCCATAGGGGGACCTACCTGGGAGTGGGCACCCTGACAGCTCCCTGCCTCAGGCCCTCGGGGATGGGAGCCTGGCCCTCAGACAGCCCAGCCCGGCAGCTGTAGCACCGCCAGGCCCCAGCCTGTGCCCCGCAGTCTCCCCCGCAGGGCCTGGCACCCCGGAAGGGCGGCCTGCAGCCCTGTGCCCCCGGGCCCCCGTCCTGCACCCCGAGCCTCGTGTCCCGTCCAGGGCCCGACTGACCAGTCTTTTCTATTGTTTTTTCTCCAGGGCCGTGCAGGCCTGCCCAGCTGCCCGCGATGGCCCCCATAGCTGCCTCCTCCTCCCACCCTCACGCATCCGTCATCACCTCACCTCTGCGCGCCCTGGGCGCTCTGCCCTGCTTCCCCCTGCCGTGCTGCAGCGCGCGCCCGGGCTCGGGCGACGGGACTCAGGGCGAGGGGCACGCGGAGGCTCCCTTTGGATGTCAGTGTCAGTTGTCAGGTAACAGACGCCGCGGGGCTGGGGGGCGGGCTCCCGGGGGGAGGGGGCGCGGGGTGCACCTGGCAGAGCTAGCCGCTGCCACCTCTCCGGGTGGGCCGGGGCAAGGTGGGGACCGGGGGGGGGGGGGGGCGTGCAGCCTCTCCCTGCCCCCAAAGGCATTTTCGGGTGGGGACGGGGGCCTGCAGGGGACGTGGTGAAGGATGCGGACGGAACGGAGCACCGGGGCCTGGTCCCCGTGGGTCAGGAGGTCCCCACGCCTGCCTCCGCCCGTCCTGAGAGTCTCCCAGAATGCACTGCCAGCCTCCCAATTCCATCTCTCTGGGCTGTTTAGCTAACGCTTAATTGGATAACGGCTAACATCTGAGGTTCCCGCCTGCCCTCGCCACTGCCGGCCCCTTCCCCGCCCCTCCCCATCCCCGTCCCCCCGGCCCCCCCCTCCCACGCCAGACACAGCCAGCAGGATTCCGTGGTGGCTGTCTGTGTACGTGGCCGAGCCGTCCACAGCGCGTTTCTCTCCGTGAGAATGTGTTGCCCATTGGCTTCGAGGGGAAAAAACACTTTAAAGGAGACTTTCGGGGGGGGGGGGGGTGAGTTGGGGGAGGGTGAAGGGGCTGGGGCAGGGCCGTGTGCTTACTGAGGGGCTGAGCGCCTACTGTGCGCCGGCTTTCGGTGGACGAGGCTCGGGCCCGCAGGGGCAGTGAGATGACTCACCCTGGCCGCCATGACAACCACCGCCCCCTCCCCGCCCCCGAGTCCCCAAACTGAGCGCCGCCTCCTGCTCTGGCCTGGGCCTGGCGTGTGTGCCGTGTGCCGTGCCCGATGCCCACACGCCCAGGTGGTGGGCGCACCTGCTGGCCGATTTCCAGGCAGGAGGGGGGAGGGTGGGCGCAGAGCGGGACACGGGCAGGCTTCTCTTGGCGCGGGTGGTGGAAGGAAGGCGGTATTTGTGGGGCCGGGTTTGCATGTCGTTGAAGCCGTTCCCAGGGAGGATTCCCGCCGGAGCCTCATCTCTGTGGAAGGCCACAGACGGCCCAGCTCCAGGGCCACGAGCTCGCTGGGCCTTGCTGCTGGTGAGGTCGCCTTCCCAGCAGCCCCTCTGACAGGTGCTGGCATCGTAGGGCCTGGGGTCCAGGGTGACGGGGGCTCCTGTCCCAGCTGGTAGGTCTGGGCCGTGGTCCCTGCTCGCGGGGTGCTGGGGTCTGGGCTGCCTGGGCGGCTTCCTGTGATCAGCGCTGCGGGCGGGGCAGGGAGGGCGAGCTGTCGGAGATCAGCAGATGTGTACGACCAGACTCCGTCACGTCCTGGGGGGCAGGCGCACCATCTCCTTGGCGCTCAGGGCTCTGCCGAACCCTCTGCTGGCTCCAGCCCTTCCGAGAAGCAGCTGGGCCGTGCGGGGGCGGCTCCGTCCCCATCGCGCAGACTGGGAAGTCACGTCTCCGCTGGGGAGGCTGGGCCGAGCTGGGGGCCTGGGGTCTGTCAGCAGGATGCCTCCTGACAGGGCCGCCCTCCTCCCACCGCGTCCCACGCCTCTGCCTGTGTCCAGGGGATGCTCCTCTCACACCTGCTCGCAGCCACCGGGCCGCCTCCTTCTTGTGAGGGTGAGGACTGAGGGCCTCCTGCTCGCCGCCTTGTGCTGGGCATGCTGCGTACGTTCTTGAATGTAATCCTCACAGCAACCTTGGGTTCTCTCCCACGTTACAGGTGAGAGAACGAGGCTCAGAGACGTCAAGGGCTCTCCGCTCTCATTCATTCATTCATTCACTCATTCACTTATTCACTCATCCATTCCTCCACAGGAGGCCATGCTTGGGTACCAGGGTCTGATACACACTACTTTGTAGACACTGTGCAGCCCAGGCAGAGTCAGGTGAGGGTCCCTGCCCTCCCGCTGCATGTAGTCTGGTGGTGGTGGAGGAGCAGGAAGGGGCCTGTCCCCCTGTAGGGATCCCTGAAAGGAAATGGAGGAGCAGAGGTAGGATTTGATCCTGTGGCATGGCCTCTTCTTTTTTTTTCCTTTTTTAAAAAAAAAATATATTTTATTGATTTTTTTTACAGAGAGGAAGAGAGAGGGATAGAGAGCTAGAAACATCGATGAGAGAGAATCATCCATCAGCTGCCTCCTGCATGCCTCCAACCTGGGGATGTGCCTGCAACCAAGGCACATGCCCCTTGACCGGAATCGAACCCAGGACCCTTCTGTCCGCAGGCCGACGCTCTATCCACTGAGCCACACTGGTTTCAGCCATGGCCTCCTCCGTCTGAGGCCTTCTTGGGTGGTATAGCTTGATGCTCTGAGGACTCAGAGACCGGAGCAGCCCCCACACTTGCTGGCAGCGGGGTGTCTGTGTGTGGGGTTCCTGGGACCTCTCCTTCTGATCCCCAGGGGCCGCTCTCAGTCTCCAGCACTCCACCCTGATTCCTACCGTGTTTCCCCGAAAATAAGACCTACTTACAGGTCTCCTTCTGAGTGAAATATAAGGCATCCCCCCGAAAATAAGGCCCCCCCAGGCTAAACATGAGAGATTTGGTCCACTGATTCTGAAAGAAATGGAGTCACAAGAAATCCACCAGGAAATTCAGGAATTGGATTGTTATGATGATGTTCCAGAAGATGATGACATGATTGTCATTGAATAAATGAGTGAATTCTTGATACTGTAGGATTCACAGTTTGTCTGGTTTGCGTTGACAGCTACCGTACTACCGTACCGTATACAGGTAATAAACTTCCTTTATTTTCATTTAACAATAAATGTGCACTGTATTCTTCTCCATGGACAAATAAGACATCCCCTGAAAATAAGACCTAGCGCATCTTTGGGAGCAAAAATCAATATAAGACACTGTCTTGTTTTCAGGGAAACAGGGTAGCACTGTCCCCCATGCATCAGCTGCGCCGGGCCGCACCCCTGGATTTCCCCGCTCCGGTGGCGCCTGTCCCTCCCAGGCTCCCGCCAGGGCCCCGGCTGTCGGCTTCAGTGGGTCCAGTGCCCATTTGGGAGCCAGGGCACCCCCGGTCCCCGCGAGGCGGGGCAGGCTGCTCCGCAGGTGGGAAGGGCCGCCGTCCGCACTCGGCCTCATCCCTTTCTGGATCTGGATGCACCGAGCCTCTCTCTCCAAGTTAACACGGAAACCCCGTGTGACCGCGTCTCGCACGGGTTAACTGCGCGCCCAGGAACACGCTCGCAGCTCTCGATAGGAGGGGGTGATTGACGGGGGAGAAGACCACACAGATGGGGTGCTGTGCGTCTCTCAGGCTGGTGGCCCCCCACAAGCCCCACCTCCTAGGACTCCCTTCTGGTGGTCAGGGTGGGGGCAGGGACTTGCTTTCTGACCCGAGGGGTCCAGGCGCTCCTGGGAAAGGAAGGTTTCCCTGAGAAATTCCATGCGGGGACATGTCCAGGCCGCCCGTGGAGTCAGGCGGTTCAGGCTGTGGTCCTGGCCCCTCCTGTTCCTGACTGGTGACCTTGAGCACGTGACCCCCTGCCCCACCCCCCACTCTGAGCCTCATTTTCTCCTCCTAATGGAGAGGTACTATGCAAATTGACCCTCACACCCTCACACAAGATGGCCATCCCCATGTGGTCAAACATGGCCACCACAAGATGGCCAGTGGGTGAGGGCAGTTAGGGGCAACCAGACCTGAAGGGTAGGGCAGTTAGAGGCACCCAGGATGGCAGAGGAGGGCAGCTGGGGGGGCATGTTGGCAAGGGAGGACAGTTGGCGGGACCAGGCTTGCAGTTGGGGGTGATTGGTCCAGTAGGGGAGCAGTTAGACATCAGTCAGGCTGGCAGGTAGAAGTGGTTAGGGGCAATCAGGCAGGCAGGCAGGTGAGCAGTTGGGAGCCAGCAGTCCTGGATTGTGAAAGGGATCAGGCCTAACCCGGCAGTTGGACATCCCCTGAGGGGTCCCAGATTGGAGAGGGTGCAGGCAGGGCTGAGGGATTACCCCCCCCCCCACTCCTGTGCACGAATTTCATGTACTGGGTTTCTATGTGTGTGTGTGTGTACACACATACATATACAGGGTGTCCCCTCAAAATGTAAACATACTTTAAGAGCTGATAGCTCAATTTTGAAAGTGAAATGTATTTTATTACCTTTATAATGATTCAAAGTGTGTGTATGCATTTTTGGGGGGACGCCCCATCTGTCTGTATTACCCATGCTGCAGTTAAAAAACGGGGCTCCTTATACCGATCTCTGAAATGGACCCCTTAGTCCTTCCAGCTACAGAGTGACTGTGGGTGACTGGGCCTGGGGCAGGCTGCGGCTCAGAGCTGAGTTTGAGAATCCCTGGGCCGAGACCTGAACCCAGCACCTTCGATTCAGAGGCAGACACTCCAGGGTATCCGTCCCTGGGTGAAGGCTGCTCTGCGCCGTTTGGCCGTGTGACCGAGGAGAAGTCATTTCCTCCCCTTCTCCCATTTCCCCACCCGCATGGGGTGGTGCGTGCTGTGAAGGACTGTTTTGAGGATCGCATGAGGTCATACCCTGTTTCTTTAAATAAGACAGTGCCTTCTATTAATTTTTTCTCCCAAAGTTGCGCTAGGTCTTATTTTCAGGGGATGTCTTATCTTTCCATGCGCTAGGACTTATTTTCGGAGGATGTCTTGTTTTCAGGGAAACACGGTAGGTCAGGAGTTGAGAACCGTGCCCCGTGCCGAACCCCCGAGTCTCCGTTCTGAGAGGCGGACCCCGCGCCAGCCTGGGGAGGCAGAGAGGAAGCGAGAGGCGTGGCTGCCACGCGGATTCCTACGGGAGGGTGGTGGGGCTCCAGGTTGCACGCGAGGCCACCCAGGACCCCAGCTCGGGTGGTGAGCGTGTCTGGGTTCGGGAGGAGGAGTCAGCGGCTGTCCTGGGGTAGCTGCTGACACCACAGGCCATCCTGTCAAGTTCAGTTCCACTGGCTTTCCTACCGGGAGCGTGCTTGCGGTGCTGTGCAACCAGGCTGGGGTTTCTTGGCTTGGGCTAAAGGTAAGGTGGTCAGACGTCCCGCTT